TGCCAATGATAGCTCTTAGATATGTTAGTTGATATTAATTCAAATTTTAAAACACATTCTTAATCTTAAATTTCTGTGATTTTTTTTTAAATAAGGGTCCTGCTATGTTGCTCAGGCTTACCTGGAACTACTGGGGTCAAAGGTCCTCCTGCCCTCAGCCTTCTGAATGTTTGCGAATACAGGCATGCACCAGCGCACCCAGCTATGTTCTTGTGATTTGTGCCAGATTTAAAAGATGGAAATCTGAAGTCAAAGACTCAGAAATGATTTACTTTGATTAGGTGCTTACAAAATAATGTACTAAAAAAAAGAGAGAGAGAGAAAACAAGTGAAAAACACCCACAGCACTTAGGTTTTCAAGCCATGAGGTTTTGCTTTTAAAACTGTACAAAAATTAAAACAAAATTATTTCCTATGCATCCATTGGAAGGATGAATGTTGTGTGTAAGAGGCTTGGTGAGGGCTAAATTTGCCTTTAGGAATAAAAACTTCTAGAGTTCTTAAATATCCTGGAGTGAAATAACCCTGAGTTAATTCACCTAAACTTTAAAAGAACTGTCTTTTTTACTTCAAACACACTTTTGCTCAGGAGAAGATGATCTTCATATATGGAAACAAGAAGGGTTTGGCAGTAGGCTTAGGGCCCCTCCAAGGTACAAGTCTTGGGGGTGTGGTCAGCATGTGGAATTTAAGCCCCTGCATCTGCAGTGGGAAAGAAAGGAAGGGAATTGGATTGGGAATGCACCTAATATCCTCCAGTAGTGAAAGATGGGAAAATGGTGGAGAAGGTCAAGGACAGAATAAAGGGTGGGGAGTGGGGTGACAGAATGGGCTATTAATCAAAATTTTAAATAGCATAGTGCAGAACCATATTGGAGACTCAGGAAAATGCAAAAATTAATGTGTATTTAATATTTTGATGTTTTGTTCATTGTAGATTTCATTTTTACTTTTATGTTAAAAATATTGCCTTAAAATATTATTTCTCTTGATTATTGAGTTTTGGTCCCTTCTTATGGATTGCACCCAAGACCAGTGCTTCACTCTCCTCTCCCTAGGCTTCGGCAGATCAAGAAGGCTTTTGGGTTCCCTGGGTTCCACCCCCAAGATCATTAGGTAGAAAGGCCTGGAGACGGAACCACATGGGGCTTTGAAGTAAGGGAGGCTTCTCTGCCAAAATGAAGTTGCTCTGTGGACATGAAAAGAAGCCCCAAGCAGACAGCATAACTAAAGCAATTAAGGATCTAGAAGTTACTGGGGTTAGGATACTGTTTCGTGCCCAAGACATTAAAAAATATGTTCTTGACTTTGATCATATCCAGTCCACACATATCTAAATGTGACAGAACCGAAAAATTACAGTGCATAATACTCCAAGTATGGTGGTGGTGTTAATGGTTTGATTCTTGTGAAATTCAGACAGTCTTGACAATACGGATCTGGAACGTGTTCCAGCTATACTTTTGGGATAATAGGTTTTGAAAACCTTCTTGATCATTTTTCATATTGTTTTTGAAATGTTTTCTTTTCTGAACATTTACTCCTTTAACTTTTTACTCTCACAAGTTTTACACACAATAATTCTGTTATATTTTCTGACATTTAACATTGTTTTTCTAATGTCAGATGGATTAATCTCTATATAAGTCCCTTAAGAGATTGGAATCTGTTACTAAAGGTGTTTTAAGGGTAATTATTGAATTCTAAAAGGTAATTATTGACCTTTATGAAAATAAAGTTACATTAAAGATTTAGGCAAATCCTCAAAGGTATGCATTTAATATTTTCTTTCTTTCCTAGTTATTGTCAACTAATTTTATAGAATTCTATGTGAAAATGAAGTGTCTCTATTCACTTGCATTTCTTATAAAGAAAAGTTGGAGTTTCTGTCTTCACAACTTTGGAGCTCAATGGATAATGAACCATAAGCTGCACACATTGTACCAGCTCCAGAGAGTTTGAGCACAGGGAAAAAGATTGTGAAGATGTATTATTTAATTCATACTTAATGTTCAAGTTCACTACTGAAATTTGACACATTGCCTAGTATGAACATATTTCATACAGTTAGTGAAACAGGTGAACATACGGTGAGAATTGGGATAATAGGCTCTTTCGCTAACTGTGGGAACTTGAACAAACATCACTGTACTTGTGATCCTCAATATTCTATCTGTAAGATGGGGATAATAATAATTACTTAGTATGAACAATTTATCTTTAAAGATGAAAAATTTATCAACATATTCCTAATTGGTCAGTTATCAGTGAAGTTTTTCTCAAGGCTTTGCCTATAAATCTTTCCTCTTTCCTATCACCCTCTATTCCACCTACCTTACACAAGTAAATTATAGTGAAGAGGAAGACGCTACCTTCCTTTTGCCATTGTTTTATTTAAAAAAATATATAATTCAGGAAAACACCAAAAGGTAACTTAGCTGCACAGGCTGTGCCTCTTTAGCTACAGTTGCACAAATGCTGCCCTGCATTGCCATCTGTAGCAACAAAACTGCCCCAATTTAGAAGAACTCTGAGGAGCATCCCTTCCTTCTCCTTAGCTCCCTCTTTGGTCAGCGGTGGCCTCTGTTGCAAGTGCATTGCAGTTCAACTGCTCCCTCAGTCACGTCTCTTTCATTCTCACAGATTGTTCCTGAGAGCATTTCCCTGTCTTCATGCAAATCCCAGTCTGTTTCCTGGGGAAAACAACCTAAAGCATCTTATCAAATGATTTAAATTCAAACACCAAGTGACTCATTGGTGCATCAGAACTGTCTGAGGGCAGAGTTTGGTAGGACAGGTCTTCAGCTAGTAGTGCCCTTGGCTAGTGCCCACAGCCATCGAACCATGGTAGGGAGAGTGCTTCTGTGTGGGTGCTGGGAATGCGTAGGAGCATTGCTGGTTCTCGCAGTATATTGGGATGGGTGGCAGCCAGACTTGGTAGACATTTTCTGGTGTGAGTACAGTCCCACAAAACAAAAACTGTCCTAAATTTAAAATGATCCTCTGGACATTCATAGTTGTGAAAACCCATATTTAGCTACCTGAGTATAGAAACAAATTCCATTTGGAATAAAAATGCAAAGTTTGTTTTGCAAAATTTTAATAATCACTGAATGCTGTAAGAATGAAATTACCATGCAAATTGAGGGAAGAGTAGGCTTATGTTTAGAAATTTATCAGGAACTTTTCAACATTTGAAAAAATAACATTATCAATTACTTGCCTCATATTGTACAGAATTGCCAAGACAATGTATATATTGTATACACTCCCAGTTTTTTAATTTATCGTGGTTGTACTTATAACTGCAATAATTTGGCTGCTTTATTATGTCATGTCATCTAATAATACTTGAGTATTTCATATATTTCCTAAATAAAGTATATATAATAGATCTTAGTTCTATTAATGTTTGCCTTAAATGCTTTCATAGAAATGATACATATTTATTTTAGACATTCACAATGATATAAAATTGTACAATTAATTTTAAAAGATCTCAAATGCCCCTATAAGAAATACTGTCATTAATATTTGATGACCACTATCACTCTCTGCATAACTATTGGTAGAAAGGTAATACAAACAGGGCTGCTATCCGCCAGCACACATGAACACTCCCACCCAACTGCTTTAAGGCACTGTTTGCTCTGAATTGTCAGTGACTTTGTCATATTGATGCTACATATTTTGAATATCATTGTGGAATAACACTATCATGGCCACCACCAATGATAACATCTAGCACACACTGGGAAAACAGTTAAATGTTTAGCTCCACTCTAAGTCTTTTGCATGTATTAACTTATGTAATCCTCCCAACAATTATACAAAGTAGGCACTCGTTATCTTTATCTATGGATATGACAAGTGAAGGCAAAAGTTGATGTAACTTGTCCAAGAACACAGGGCTACTGTATGACTAGTGACACATGGATATACAGGCACCTTTCTTGTGCTCTCTGCCAGTCACTACGCTCTTCAGGATAGCCATTGTCCTGACTTGCTAAACCACAGATTAATTATACCCTATTTAAATGTCATACATGTATGATATCCACACTTTTGTGGTGGTCATTTTTGCTCAATACCACACTCTAATGATTTATACATGCTTTTGCATGTTTTATAATAATGTGCTTATTTTCATTGAGTTATTACATTACAGGTGTACACTACAATGTTTTATCCCATTCTGTAGGTTGCCTTTTCATCTGTTGATGGTTTTTAGTTTGATGCAAGTCATTCATCTACTTTTGTCTTTCTTGCCAGTGCATTTGGCATCATATGTAAAACTCCTTGTCCACACCAATGTACATAGGCTTTTCTTATGTTTCCTTCTAGTCGTGCTATGATATCAGGTCTTACATTGAACATACACTCTTGATTAACACTCTCAACAAAATATAAGGGGTAAGGAAAGGATATCCCACAATGCAATAGGTTTTCTTGATGTTCTTTAAAATACTTATTGACTTATAAGACTTTTGAATATTTTGAGATATATATGTGGTATTATGATAAATGTATACAATGAGAAATGGTCAAATCATGGTAATTGGAATAACCATCACTTTGTTTTATTTTATATTTTAAGATAATTTTTTCTAATTTTTTTTATTTCAGCATAATATGGGGGTACAAATATTTAGGTTACATATATTGCTTTTGGCCCACCCGAGTTAGAGCTTAAAGCGTGTCCATCCCCCAGAGAGTGCACACTGCACCCATTAGGTGTGTATATGCCCATCCCTTCCTCACCCTCCTCATCTGCCTGACACCTGATGATTGTTATTACTATATGTGCACTTAAGTGTTGATCAGTTAATATCAATTTGATGGTGAGTACATGTGGTGCTTGTTTTTCTATCTGGTGATATTTCAATTAGTAGAATGGTCTCCATCTCTATCCAGGATAATACAAGAGGTGCTAGAACACCACTGTTTTTTATGGCTGAGTAGAACTCGATGGTATACATATATCACATTTTATTAATCCATTCATGTATCAACTTGTTATCTATAAGAAGAAAATATTGAATAGTTTTCTTAAAGCATGAGAAAAATAGCCAAATAAAAGATATTACCCTTGAATACCTGAATATGTTTAAGATAACAGTCCTCCAAAGTAAAACATAAACCATACAATCCATGAAATGACAGTTTAACTCATATTATCACACAAAAATTAAAATTCTGAATATGTCTGGAACATCATAATCAGTTTGTAAGTAAACGTAAAAGTAAAGAGTACAGTTCTCCATGATTATATGCCAAAACGATATGAAGAATCTTCAGTGGATCAGAAGTGGATGAATCCCTGGACATAAGAACCTCTCCTAATGGCAGAAATATAAAGCTATTAATATTCATTAATTAGTGAGATTTTTCAACATAGTTCAGAGAGTCAAAGATTGAAATGTAAGACTTAATGTATTTCCTGCTGAAGGTGTTTTCTGAGGTTTCTGTGTGCTGAGCTTAATTCTGTGTTTCATTTACATCCCAGATGAACTGCAATGGAAAGTCTTTCATCTGCTTTCGGAAAATCTTGTCAAATCTTTCATTCTGCTCGACGGTCATGTGACTTTTCCAGTCTCCAATGGTACCTGGTAGAGAATAACCGAGAAATAGCTTGAGAGAAGTTGAAATTTTGCCATGTAGTGAAGGGCAAAACAAACATGTAACTCAGTGCTGGAAGAAACCTATTCCCACTTTTATTTTTCAGCCCATTAAGCCCTCAGGCATTCATCTACTCGCTAAGACTCTCTACCCTCTCACTTTATGACAAGCAGATAAACACACTGATCATTGCAATTTTACTATAATTATGTTAAGTCATCACCCACATTCTCAGTGTCTGCTCTTTGGAAACTGAAAATTACTACAACTTGATCACGGTTTTGTTCAAGACCACATTGCTTCCTCTAATCTACAGAAGTCTCTTAAGAATTCTATATATAAGTCATCACTGAGATAACACTTACAGGTAAAGACTTGGATGCTCAGAGAGATTTTGTAAAACAGCCAAGATCATACAGTATATATTGACATAGCTGAAATCATTCCAGCTTTACCCCATTTACTTGTGACTTGCCCTTAAACTAAACTTCAAAAGACACACAGTTGCCATGAGGAATAGTAGCTGATACAAAGAAAGGCAAAAGAGGAAAGACTGATTTGAAAAACAGGCTGTACTGAAAACATATTGAAAACTAAAACAAACGACTGAAGCACTGAATGAAGTAAGAACACAAACACCTAGTGCAGCACTGCTAAAGCCACAGCAAACAATGATAACTGGATAAAATCAAGGAGCAACTCTTTGAGTCCCTTTAAAATAAAAACATGTTCACTTCCACAAAGACATTTTGCTCATTTTTATATTTTTTATAGTCATATCAGTCTCTCATTGTTGGAGTTTCCTAAGGACACACAAACACAGGAAAATGTCTTCTTTCAAATACAAAATGCAAGTACAGTGCTAACGGAAGGAGGGCAATTTCCTGAGCATCAGGAAGATAGTAAGGTGTATTTGATCTAATGGCAATGGGTGTGTCCCACTTCTTGTCAGCTCAGTGCTACCAGTGCTTCAGATATTTCAATAGAAGGGGAAAGGACACACCAAAGACAGGAATGGAAGGATATACAAACTTAGAGAAATTCAAACCCAATATTTATTCCTCATTGACATATGGTATATAACTATATGAAATTATCAAGTGCTAAATCTGTGTCTATAGTTCTGTGTAATACTATGTTAACAAATATGAAATATAATGTGGAATAATAGAGTAAAGTAATTAAAATATTTTAATATTTTTAATTCTAGCAATTGCATGAAGAATCCATGTATTCTAAAAACTCATTCCCCAGAAGCCAAATAAATGAAATATATCTATAATTTTTTAAAAGTGTTATACTAGTTTAGGCCAGGCGCTGTGGCTCACGCCTATAATCCTAGCTCTCTGGGAGGCCAAGGCGGGTGGATTGTTCAAGGTCAGGAGTTCAAAACCAGCTTGAACAAGAGCGAGACCCTGTCTCTACTATAAATAGAAAGAAATTAATTGGCCAACTAATATATATACAAAAAATTAGCCAGGCACGGTGGCGCATGCCTGTAGTCCCAGATACTCGGAATGCTGAGGCAATAGGATTGCTTGAGCCCAGGAGTTTGAGGTTGCCGTGAGCTAGGCTGATGCCATGGCACTCACTGTAGCCTGGGCAACAAAGCTTCTGTATCAAAAAAAAAAAAGTGTTATACTAGTTTAATAAAGACATGTTATAGTTCATCCCAATAACAAAAAAAGAGCCAATATGTGTTGTTTTTTCACCACAGTCAGCGTTCCAGATAAAACATGGAGATGTAAGAGAGCAAGTGATAACCACTAGGCTTGTCAATATTCCATTGTCAGGTGCTGTGGCCCTGTTTAGGAGGGGGAATCATCTAATCCTAAGTGAATATCCATCTCGTGGCAGGTAAGCACTGTGCTAGCCATCAGTAGATGTTCCAAGGCCACATGGAAGACCTTGTGAGCTTAGATTCCCCATCAGATAACCTTCAGGAACCAGACAATGTAGTCGCATGGAGAGCACCAGGAAGACATCATGTAAAAGAAACTGACTAGAGAAGGGAAAGGGCCAAGAGGGCTCCACTGTTTGAAACTCTACCACAAACCCCAGGGCTACACTCTGTTCTATCTGCAATACAGTGGAAAACAACCGTGCACTAATTCACTGCCGAGCTTCACCTTTGCGAAGGAAATGACCTTCTCTTAGTTTTGACCCAAAATACAAGTAGAGTGCATTTTCATAATTTGCTAGTGGGTCATCCTTCATGCTCTCAAATGTGGCCTGTCTCACCACAGCATTCAAGGTCTCCTCACTCAGGTCTTCACCCAGAAATTTGGAGAGTTTTAACACAGAACTTCTGAGATCCTGAAATAAATCACAGTATGATAAATTAGACAAATTTTTAGAAGGGGGACACAGGCAAGTGTCATAGATAAATATCATTGAGGGAGTGAAAATTGTGGATACTGCAGCTGGTTGTCAGTTTTGAGTTGCATAGTGTAACTTGACTTTCTTATTTCATACTGGTATTTTTTCGTTTGTCTGCTGTTTGAGAGTTTAATTAGCTTAATTGCATATTTTTCATTTTCTCTGTGTTCACTTAGCAAAGTTTCTACTGTCAGGCACTGTCCTGGGTGATGTGGGGACGGGAAGAAAATCAGTGCTGGGAATTGAGCCCAAGATCTAGGGCAAGAGAGTTATTGTGGAATGGAATTAAGAGAAAGTTACAACAAAGAAGAGATATTACTCTGGGTTTTGAAGGAAAAACAGTAATTTTCTAAGTAGACAGAACTGGAGATATGCAATGTGAACATAAGAAAACAAATACACAGTGCTATAGTAGTATGGTATACATGAAATATAAGGCAACCAAAAAGTTAGAAACTCAGTTTTCTCAGAGCTTGATGGGGAAAGGCAGGATGAGAAAGTAGGGGACATGCCTGGAGAGATGTGTGGGACCAGACTGTGAGGAGGCTGCAATTGGTCACGTGGACCCAGCTGGACGCAGACATGAGACCTCACTTTGGATATTGAAACAGAAGAGAAAGTCAAATGTAAGAAGCTTCTGAGATTGGCTTTCATCCTGGAGAGAAGGTAGGAACAAAACAAGGGACCTAGTCCCTCTCTTCCTGCATCAAGTACTTCTAGATGAGGAACTGAGTTTGAAGCCCTGACAACTGTCTTATGAGAAGACACGTCACTGGTATAGCAAATATGAGAATATGGAAAGGTACAAAATGTTTGAGACATCTATGACATTGTTGAGTTGCAATGCCGAGCCTCAGGATAGGCAACATGTGCATGTCAATTACTAAACAATAGATGTTCTTGTATTTTAAGCTACTTATAGTTGACTGTTAGTGGGAGCCAGAATATTACCAAGGAAAGACAAACATTTTCATGTTTATATAATTTTTATTTTTTTTTTCATTACAAACCCTTTTGTCAAAGGATGACCTTCAATGGATTCCTGTGAGGGAGCTGCTCTGCTGTATATGATGTTTTCATTGAACTTACTATGCAATGGTTAACTCAAGACAACACAGATAAAGTGAGTGATACTGGAAAAAAGCCTCATGTTAACCTTACTCTTAGATCTCAAATTCCATACTGTTCTTTGGGTGTTGTGGCATGAACTATGAATTCCTTAGGCCAGGCTGAGTTAGAGCTTAGATCAAAGTACAAAGGCGATCTCATCTCACCTTCTTCATTTCCTCGTACATCATGAACTGAATATTGAAGTTGTTTCTGTGCTCATACCAACCTTTGATATGGTCAAACCAAAGGTTTCCTAACACTGTGGGAAGAAGAGGTAAGTAATTAGGTAAACATGTTGGTAGATTGAACAGGTTATGAGGTGTGGGAATCTTTAATAACCAAAGAGGAAACAGATTTCTGTGGCCAGTCTCTAGATTTCCTTGCTGTGTGGTTATTGGGGAAGCATTTAGTTTTGAAAAGGGAGCAATTACACAAAATCAAAGCAAGTTAGTCTTTTAAAATGCAGTTTTTATGAACAGAAAGCAGTCTAGTGTGGGGTGAGTAAAGACCAAAAATGGAGAGCAGATGGACAAACCATTCGTGTCCTCCCTGCTCCTCTTCCTGTACCCAAACACACATGCAGAGACATTTCTACTCTCCATGTCCCACCATAGGGTCCCAGAGGAGTCACTTCTGCTCTGCACAGTGACCCAGAACCTAAGTTTAGGCGTCCTGTGTGATATTATCATCTCTGTCTCCACAGGCCTTGCTCCTTCTCACCTCCCTACGTTGGAATCCTTAGAAAAACAAAGGGGAAAGGAACTCTCAGACACACACTTCTGGCTTACTGAAACACTAACCTGTCCTAACTCTTCCCATGGCAAGTGATTTTGTAATCTAGTCAACCCTTGGAGAGTGGGTGAGACTAGAGCAATTGGCATAAATGGCAGGACTTGGTCCTTCTAGACAATTCTACCAACTGGTTGCTAAATTGACCATTGACAGCCATTCTACTCTATTTTCAACACCCTCTTTTCCACCCTCCAAATTAATAAAGCTTGAAAACTCACAACAGCACAGCGAATGCATTTTTTGGGTAATAATATCAGTTACCTTTCCCTTCCAAAAATTGTTTCATAAATGCGTCAATGGTGTCCGCAGCTTTAAATATGGGATATGTGTTTAAAAAATGAAAATATGAGCACATAACATCCTTAGGGTTTCTGTATATATATATAATCTGCAAAAGAAAGCAAAGGAATTATTGTTTCTGATGCTTTCATTTATCATGTTTACTTCAGAATATATCTCAATTGGATTAAGCCTGTTATTTTTAGCTTTCATAATTCCCTAAGTGTGTCCTCAGTATTCACAGCTTCTCCTTTATATTTAGTGCTTCCCCTTCTCTGCAACACCAATCAAGACACATCTCAAAGTTACTTCTTCGTATGGTTTGATTCACTCATCTTTTATGGTAACGTTTACCTAATTTTTGTCTACCCTTACTGAGTCAAGCACAAGTGCTTGGTACACAGAAGTTACTTTCTAAGTATTTTTTCTTTGCAAACCACCCAGAAATAGAGAACCTTGTGGGGTTTGTATTTTTTTGTTGTTGTTTGTGGTTTTTTAGGCCAGTGAATAGAAACAATGATAGTAGAGAAAGAACATAGGAAACTTTTACAGTAGGAACCCTGGCTGTGAGCAATTATTTGCAAACATCACTGCTCTCAACCAACCTAGAATATTTGTTTTCTTAAAATTTTCTAGCAGAACCAACCAGAATAAATTAATTCCAAATAACAATTAAGCAATCCAATCATATTGCAAAAAATCATCAATATCTACTCTACGCCACAACTCACTAGCTCAGTCTATGTTGCACAAATATTTAGGGGCTCTGATAAAATTGTAGGCCTGCTTCTTTGCTTTTAAATGAAATGTATAACTTTAATTACATATCTGGGATAACTTCCAAGTTTAGTAGAAAGAAGATTTCATTCACGTGCAGCCTCCCTGGGCACAGCCTGGAGTTAGCCCATAATGCTGTGAAATGAGGTGATAGACACAGGGTGTATCTGCAAGTCCCCTCAACCCTGAGTGATCTTCTAGTTCATTGAGGGATGGTCCTTTTTCCATGGGATATTGACAACTATTGATATTGCTAGAAAGGAACAAATGACCCTCCACATAACTAAAAAAAAAAAAAAAAAAAAACTTTTATTCAATTTCTTATTGTGATTCTTTGGGTCTTAGAATGGCTTCTTATTATTCATCCATTTGCTTATATAAAAATGATGCACATGTAAGTATTAACAGTATCCCTGACTTACTTGTGCCATGAGTCCCGGTCCTAACACCCTTATAGAGATAATGACACATGTTCTTGACAGAGGGAACTTGAGAAGGGGAGAGTTGTGAAGAAAAAATAAAATATTCTATTTGGATAGTTTAAGTTTGAAATGTCTATTACATATACAATAGAAGATACTAAATAATTCATGTCACTCTAGAATTGAGAAAAGAGGTCAATTAGATATACATTGTATTTAACATGATATGTTTGGATAATATTACCTAGCAATTAACTGCACATGACAAGAAGAAAAGGACAGGAAAAATATCTGGAATTTTCAGCACTGGGAGAATGGACAGAGGAGAAAGGAGGAAGGGGCAATGCCTCAGTATGCTATTGTGTATTAAGAAACCCAAGTAACGATTTCTGAATAGCAAGGGTGTCTATTTTCTCTAAAACAGCAAAGATTAATTTGGAACAGAATTGGTTAACTCATCATCTCAGAGTTGTCATTAGGGAGTTACAGTCTCCCTGCTTTTCTACTCTGACAAGCTGACTCTCCTCCATGTCTGAGCCATCACTGCTCTTTCTTCCCCAAGGTCTCTTTAAAGAGTGAAGAGACTTTCCTGAGAAGATCCGCAGTAAACTCATTTTCCTGTGTCATAAGCCAGGAGTTTGTTACAATGGGAGCACCCTAAAAGGAATAAAAATCATAGGAGGCAACAGCCAGATAACCAGGGGCTTGAAGTCACAATTTAAGTTCAGTGATTTCTTCATTCATTCTTTCAACCAAACCACCTGCCAGGCACTGTTCTACACACTCTGAACACAGCAGTGAGCCCACCAATACCTCAGCCATGAAAGTGCTATGGTCTGGCCAGACAGATTGAAAATAAATGAATAACTAAATATATATGGTATCAGATGGTAATCAGTGCTGTCAATACAAGAACTTGCGTTATAGAATACAGTGGGTGACTTGGGTGAAGGAAAGGATGACAGGACTGTAAGAATCAACTCCAGGAGGCTTGACAGGGCCAGCACCAGGCTGAGGCAAATGCAGAGCCTGAGCTGTAAACTTTAAGGAGGGTCTCACTCTCAGGATCTTGCCACCTGCACGATCAGGGCTGATCCCGCACCTTCACGGCTCCTAGAGCATGTGCCTCCTTAATGTTGAGCCCAGGTGTCTTATTCTTCTCTGCCTTGTCTGGCTCTCCCAGAAGATCATTCCCATGAACATGAGGAACAGGCATAGAGCTAGAGAAAAAGGTAGAGAGCCAAGTGCTGACATTTTCAATAGGTGGTGGTCACTCGTCCAGGGAGGAAGGTACAAAGGGAGAGAATGTCATTATACAGAAGAGTGACTTGGTCTGTAGTTACCTTGACCTTCCAAGTAACTAGGTCTATAGGGACAAAGGAGCTTGGAAATTAGGCTGGGAATGTCAAAGGGAACCTGGCAGGGCACTAGGGGTATAGGAGGGACAGGAGTGCTAATGGGATGTGTGTAGGTATAGATACCTATTAATGTTTAAATTAGCTCTATTACCTACACAATTAGGAAGAGACAAGGTGAAAAATCAAATTCAAATATTATAACAGAAGAATGCAGATGTGTGCTGAGAATGACAGAATGTAAAATACATTCAATTTCATCCTTTGCTGTTTGCTACCAGCTGAATGAATGTGGTGTCGTGCAAGAAGGTACAAGGAGGTAAGGAAAGAGAGCAGTTCTTATAAGCAGTAATAGTATTTGTATGCCCTACTTTGGCTTTTTTGTTCTTCAGCCCTCTTGGAACCAAGTAGTATGGGAGGTGGGTAGCAAAGAGACGAGGAGATGGTCTACTGCCAAAATCTATATCTTCAAAGCAGTTTTCAAAAAAGGGGATACGATTAAATGTCTCCAGATTTTCCGTTCTTTTGCGATGTTCCTCAAAATAAATCAAGCTTAATATCTGCTGACACCAGGCAGTTCCTATAAAAGAAATAATTTTGTTTTTATTAATGCATGGCTTTCAGAAAAATATATATAACCAGTTTTTAGTCAAATAAAGTTGTTATTACAGTAGGTTGTTGAGAATTTCATTTATGCAAAGTGACATAAGTCTAAAGGGAACATATATTGCTTTTATTTTTCATTTAGGATGTTACGTGGGGGTTTTGCATACAAATTTATTCTTTGACTCTTGCTTTCTTATGCTTCACCCATGGTACCTTTCAAATTATATTCTGTGCTTACCTCTAGACGTTTTGTCCTCAACCTATTCCCTAGGGGATGAGCTAATATAATCACAGAATAAAAGGAATTACAGTGAAGAAGTAACCTGTAATTTTTCTCCCTTTCCCCATGTTTCCCTCATGATTGCTGCTTAAGGAAATGGTGTTTAGTTTGAGGCACCTACAAAAGGACTTTTGACACCAACATGTAGATAGAAATGAAAAGTTAATAACTGAAGTTTGACCATTGACTTTTAAGTGTGATTTGAGAAAAGCAATTAGATTAACTCCAATTAGAGTTGACATTTAGTTTTTTGATACCTCTTATGTATGCTTAATATTTGGGACTAAGATTTGAAACATTTCTTGTATATAGGTTGTTTCTCCAGTTTTTAAGTCAAATTGGGTTGAAATGGTTTACCTCACTGAAAAGTCACAAGCCCCAGTGGGATATTTCTCAGATTTCTGCTAGGAGCAAAACTATTGCTTCTCAACAATTCCCTACCTAGCCCTTTGTTTTCAAAGACTATTCAATCATCCCTGGTGAACAGCTGCACCTGGTGAGTAAGATCATTACTGAGTAAGATCATCCCTTGATGGCAGGTACAGGTGAGATGCACCTTACATGTTCCTCTTACTACCTAAATATTGGTGGCTGTAGTCTTCAGTGTTGCCAGGGAAGACTATGACCACATGTGCTTACTTCTTGTCATAGCTGGACCAAATATTCCACTGAAAATTCATTGATATGAAACTCTACAAAGTTTCTTACATCCTTCTTTATTTCTCAGATGACAGACTCTGCTTCTACAAGAGATATCACAGCTTCAAGGCCACAGCTATTGTAGATGAGGGTTTCTCAAGACTGACCAGAGCTGGTCACAGGTCTGTAAGTATTCAAGAACAGAAGAACTGGAAGAGTGTGTTCCCCACGCAAAAGAGTCTACATTTATTCTCCCTCCTCTCCTGCTGCTTCTTCTGTTTCCACTTCTCTCCCCCCTTCCTCCCTCTATTTCTACATTTTTTGTTTTTACCCTGTTAGGATGTCATATTTTAGAGTAAAGGAATCTTCATCTTTCCCTGCACTTCCTGTCATATTAACATCACTGCTTCATTTCAGTCCCTCATTTGTCTGCTTGTATGTTCCTTTATTCCCATTTCCTACCTAAAATGCTATAACTACACCTATCATTGCAACCAGTCAATTGGTTTTAAGGTGCATCTGTTTGCTTGAATATATTCTTTTGAGATGTGTACTGTTGTGACATCTTATATTTTCAATTTAAGTGGAGCATCTTAATTTTTATGCTTTTTTCACTGAGCACTATGATTTTAAGATTCATTCTGTGTTACCTCTGATCAACTGCCCCTATCAACTGCTGCCTCCTACTTCATAGTGTGCATCCCTGGGTTTTACCTATCCACTTTCTCACTCAGGGACTTCCTGCTCAAGCAGCATAGCAATGCACATCCTCATTTTGTTCCTATGCATGGACTTGTTTAAGAATTTTTCTAGGATAACTATTCAGGAGAGCAATTGCTTCTGTTGTAATAGAGATCAAAAAGCTGAAGGAAAGATACTAAATTATGAACAGGACCTAAGGCCATGCCAGGCAAGATTTCAGTCATGCACCTCCACATTTAAAGTATGAACTAGGTTTGAGGTGCCACAAGGTGCTTCTTTTTTCTAGTAGGTAAACATTGGCCTGGTGATAAGCAATATCGCTCACTGACTGCCATATGCTGACTAACTGAACCCCTATTACACATGCCACAACCGTACCTTTGATTGGACAAGAGATTGATTGCTGTAACTTTCTCCTTATAAGAGACCACCACCCATGAAGCAGTTGTGGCCAACTTACAGATACTGATCACTGAGTGCCTTTGTGTCCTTACTTCACCTTTTGATTCATAGGGCCTAACTGGAATGCAGTTAAATGTGGTCTCTACCCCCAAAGTGAACATGGAATGTATGTGACACGCATGTTTGCTTATTGTGCATGTGTGCGTCCCCTCTTGCAGAATATTCATAACTGCATCTAAAATCTATTGAACAGGTATGCTTGTCTACTCAGTTCAGCATAAATTCCTGTCTCATCCTTCTCTGCCTCAAAGTGGTTGATTTTCGATTTCAACCAGAGGCTGAGCCTCCTTTCTGGAGCTTGTGACTCTCTATGAGAAATAAAGAAACAAAGTTCTCCTCTCCAAAGTTATGAATCCTCAGACTTTTTCTGAGGCACTTAGTGTGGCTGTATGAACATGTCCAAGAATTTCCATATTGCTCTGCAGAGATGGCTGTTTTGGTCTCTTCTCCCATTGGTAATACAATAATGCATGTAGATCTGTATCCACTCCCTGTCTGCACTTGACATATTGACCTTTCTAATTCTTGTTAGTCTATGTGATGGTTAATATTATATGTAACTTGAGTGAGCTAAGAGATGCTTACATTGCCGGTAAAACATTATGTCTAGATGTCTCAGTGTGAGTGTTTCAGGAACAGATGACAGTTTGAATAAGTAGAATAAGAACATTGTCCCTCACCAATGCAGCCAGGAATCATCCAATCCATTGAGAACCCAAATAGAACAAAAAGCTGGAGGGAGGGCAATTACTTTCTCTTCCTGAGCCGAGACATCAGCTTCTCTGGCCCTTGGACATAGGAGCTCCATGTTTTGGGGCCTTTGAACCCTGGGACTTGCATCTGCATCTCCCCTATTCCCAGGGCTTCGTCCCCATACTGGGAGTTACACTATTGTCTCCCTCACTCTGAGGCCCTCAGACTTGGTCTCAATTACACCACAGACTTTCTGGGTTTCCTGCTCCCTCAGGGCATATCCAAAATAACATACAACTACACTGTAAAAAACCTCATTTGGCAGGATATTGAATAATGAGTTGTGTATGTCCAAAGGATTAACACGATTTGGCCATATGTAATACTAGTGAAAAAACTAAATTATCTTATTATAGAAGTGTCATTTTGTGTCTTAGATTACTTTTTGAAATACTGTACTTACCAGATTTGGGGTATGTGACTATGAAGACATCGTCATCTCGAATTTCAAAATCATCTATATTCTCTAAAAAGCCAGTAATAGATGCTTTACGCTGAAAATAAAATCCTTTATATATCAATAAATCTCTTTCCAAATCTTCCATAATGCAGTACCTGCAAAAGACATACAACATTCTTTGAATGATATTTAGATGAATTTTGTATCTTCTTTCCATCGGTATTATTGCCTTTCAGTCATAGATTCAAAAAAAAAATTGATTCTTTCTTTTCCCAATAAACATATACAACATTCTAGCACTAAAAACCAATGCTGGGTGTGTGTCACTTGCTCCAAAGTCCAGGAGCCTGCTGTTTAAGGGGTGGGTCGTTGTTTATGTGTATATGCTGCACTCATGTAGCTACAGGGAGGAGAGCTGAAAGTAATTATTGTAAAAATTTCAAAAAATGTTGTTATCAGATGTTTGGTATGTATTCCACTATAAACAAATCTTTGTTACTTCCATATGTGCACATAATTGTCGATTGATTACTACAAATTTAATGATGAGTACCTGTGGTGTTTTTTCTCTGTTGCTATGATACTTTAATTAGTACAATGGGCTCAGCTTCATCCAGGGTACTACAATAGGTAGTTTGTTATTTTTTTTTTTATGGCTGAGTAGTACTCTATGGTATACTTATACCACGCATGTATTGATGTGCATTTAGGTTATTTCCATATCTATGCAATTATGAATTGTGCTACTATAAGCACTCAAGTACAGATGTCTTTCTTTATAGAATTTTTTTTTCCTTTTGGTAAATACTCAGTAGTGAGATTGCTGGATGAAGTGGTAATTCTACTTTTAGTTCATTGAGGTATTTCAATACACCTTTCCATAGAAGGTTTACTAGTTTGCAGTCCTATTGCTTGTTATATAAATCTGGACAAGAATAGCTTAGTGGTCAGTCAGTTATAGGTCAGAGGTTGTACTGAAATACTGGAAACTGATAAACTTTTCACATTTGCACTCTATACGACCGATAAAAAATGTAAAAGCTTAAAAGCAATAATTTTTTTTTTAAGCAATCAGAAGTTTATTAACTTGTACATTTCATATATACATGGCCTTCTCCTCCTGGTGCAGAGAAAGACACCCTTACAAATGGAAATTTCCTTTATAAATATAAATTTCCCTTTTAAAACAGTATCTTTTTTGACCTTTTTTTTCAGAACTTCTGCCAACTTCTGTCTGCTGTTGGCCAACATAATCAGCTCAGAATAATGCTTATACTAAACTAATATATTTTAGGATAGCATGTCTTGCTTTCTGCAAGCTATTCATTTTAATTAGTGACTGACAATAATTCCTTTCTAACCATTAACATACTTGGTCTTAAGGAAATGAATATTTCTTATTTAAATTTAGAAATCACTATGAAAGAAAGGCAGTATAAATAGTTAGCCACAAACTCAAATTTCTGTCATAATAAAACTTAACATTTTACCGTTTAAGATTTCTCCAATAATAGAGATTGACACCCTTCTTCACATAAAATTTCTGTTTAGAGAATGGTGACAATGGGTAAAACGAAGCCATGAGATCCAAAGCTACTAAGGTCAGAAATACAAGCTGGCTTTGCTTAGTTTGGTATCTACACAGTAGAGATGACTGTGGGAGTGTGGGGATGGGTCTATGTTGTGATCCAAATCATGTAATGTGCTCAGTGTTAAGTCAGCAGGTACAAAAGAGTCATTAGTTATCTTAGCAGATGGCAAGACATACACGTTATTCAAGAAGCACTAATAATAGACAAGAAGGAGCAGTTAAGGTCAATAATCTAAGTGAGCAGAGAGTTTGAGTAGTGCCTGGATTATTTCCCTATAAAGTTCATCCCATTTTTAGACAAACTGCTTGGTTATTGTGAAACCCTTAACAAAGATGTCACAAAACAATACCTGAAGAACCAGCCTCAGAATCCTGCTCTACCTGTGTGATCCAGTGAGATGAAGACCATATGAACATTTGCCCACTTGAGTGGCTGTGATGGCAGATAAACGGTGATTTATTGTAATAGAATTTCAGAAAATGTCTAATCTTCCAGAGTAAATCTGTCTACTATGGGCAGATATGGCATTTGTTCATAATCTTCCCACTTGATTCTCAATTCTGTTTCACAAGAAACAACATAAAGATTGGAATTTCCCACTAGCTGTGCTACTGAAGTAGAAGCCCCTCGATCGATTTTAACAGTGACCTATGAACATAAGGGAGTCCTCAGTAGGACAGCAAGCAGACAGTTGTTTCAGTACATTCATCCTAACTTTCTGAAGTTATTCCACAACAGCGATGTTGTACTTGACGCAGCCACTTTGAAAAGTTGGAAGTTTTTGTGTTAAGATTATTTTTCCTAGTAAATAAATTTGGGGCTTTTTTCAGTGGTCTACTGTGAGAGCTGCATATCAGCAACAGTTTAACCCTCCCCTTGAGTTATTGTTGATTTTAGCAGCCCTGCTAGCTGGTCAGTCATTGATTCTCTTTGTGGAATATTTAGTCTCCATCTATATAACTTTCCATCCTCAAGAACAAAATTATTCTTCTCATTTGCCTTTATATGAGACACAAACTCTTAATTCTCACATAAATCCTACGGTAAGTAGCTTCTTTATTGTGTCTATTGTATACTACTTATGTGCAGTTTGATTGGCGTGATTTCCAACCTCTAGCCTAAATATCCTTAAGATATCTCCTCCAATCTATTGGAGGCAAAATTATTGTGTGAATGTTATGCTTTGACTTTCAACAGACCTAGCAATGATGTACCTCCAAAATATCTGCTTAGAAATTTAAGAACATACTCTACTAAAGCAAAGATATACATTATAGGTTAGGTACGGTGACTCAAGCCTGTACTCCTAGTGCTCTGGGAGGCTGAGATAGGAGGGTCACTTGGGGTCAGGAATTCAAGACCAGCCTGACTAAGAGTGAGAACTCTTTTCTATTGAAAATAGAAAAAGTGCACTGGGAAAGTTGGTGCTTGCCTATAGTCCCAGCGACTTGGGAGGCTAAGGGAGGAGGATCCCTGGAGCCCAGGAGTTTGAGGTAGGCTGATACTTTGGCACTGTAGACTTGGAAACAGAGCAAGACTCTGTCTAAAAAAAAAAAAAGATATAGATTCTATATATAAGTAGATTATAAAGCAGTGGAACTTCTATGTGACAGTAGAACTAGACATCAGATCCAGCTTGTTTGTTTTCTATTCTACTCCTACTCTGATCAACTTACAGTCAACATTTTCCCATGATTTTCACGTCTCCTTTGAAATTTTATTTCCTCTGAAAAAAGAGCTCACCTGTATTGTCCTTCCTGCCATTTTGTTTAGTTTCATTATATCCTACTGCTATAGAAAAATATTAGAAGAAAAAATAAAGTTTTTGTTATTGCAATATTCTGTATTATTCTACCCAAGATCTCAGTAACCTCAATCTCTTTTTGTCAGAATTCCCTCCAAACAGGGCTCAATTGTTGCAATCATACACAATGTCTTCTGTCTACTATAAATATTGAGGCCAATTTCTTTTTCCATTTTATATTGCAATGAATAAAAAAAGTTTACTCATATCCTCCCAGCTACTCCCCATAGAATCATCAATTGCTACACCAGTTGCTTTACTTTTAAATAGTCTTTCTTTTGGCTACCTCCAGCTAACAAAAAATTCCCTAGCTCGCACCCAATTTTTCGTTCTCTGAAATATCAAGATACACATACTAAAAACATTTCAAAACTTGTCAAATGGGCAATTTTAACAGATTGTGATTGAACATCATTTTAATTATAATTCTACACCTCAAAATGTCATAATGTGTATTTGTGCATATGTTGCAACACCTGTGCTCCTTCCAATCCAATTTAGAACCAGATAGGGCTCAGGTCTGGGGTATATGCATTCCCCAAAGCCAGCTGTATATATATTTTTCTGCACAAGATAGCATATAGTCCACTTGATCTATCAGAACCAAGTGGCATCCCAGATCATGAGCAATCTCTCTCCCAGATGCATTTGTAAATATATTTTAACCCAGGTGACCATCAGGTACTGTTGTTTCACTCTTGTGAAAAGAGAGCAAGAGACAAACTTTCAATACCTCATATTCCTCTATCTTTTACACATGTTTTTTATAACTTCTTCTCTCACTGTTAAAAGCCCCTATGAATTTTCCACATTCTTCTTCTTAATAATTCTTATTCTCCCTTCATCTAAACTAATGGATTAAGCACACACATTTTAAAATGCACTCCGAGCATATCCTCTGCCTTTTACCAATACTCTATAATTGATGACCTGGTTGTTGATTGGAATTCCATGTGGTAATCATGTTAGGGGTTCTGAAATAGGTCTGTTAGGGGTTCAGAAATTTGTTGTGCATCACATAAAATTTGTGTCCTTTCCTATAAATACCATCATCATGAACTCATGCTCCTCAAATCATTTTTAATTTTCTAGATGATTGTAATCATTTTCTGCCTTCTCATACTCAAATAGTCACTCCTATGTCACTAGCCATCCTTGTTATGATCTTTTTGTCCCTTTAGCATTACTGCAAAAGCACTGAAATTGCTTTTACTTTATAATAAGATAAAGGCCTAACAGCTTCACTTTCATTGATATGATCGCAAGGCATGGATTTGGCTACCCTTCAAGGAATTCTACTTCTTTCTAGCAGAAATTAATAGTACAGCCCAAATCTAATATCTACTAGAGGTAAATTAGCCTGTTTTGCTTTAACACTTGCAGACAGAAAAGAGGGTCTTTAAGTAACTCTAGTGACAGAACAAATCTCTGTCTCTTTGCTGTCATCCTTCCCACCTCCCTACCAGTTTGTTGCTTTGGCAAGAAACATATGTTGATGGTGCCAACGAACCTTTAACACTGGCTTCTTCTCCAAATTCTTCCTTTAGTTGAAGCAGCCTCAGGTGATTACTAGATTTCATGTGTCCAATCTTGAACTTTTAAACCACCAATATCATGAACAAAATTAACTTGTTTTCTTTATAACCTACCCAGTCTCAGGTAGTCTATTAGATCAAGACTAAACAGACTAAGATATAGCTCCATCAGTTTTTCCCTCATGTATTTTGAAACTCTGTGGTTGGGTACATACACATCAAGG